TGTTTCGGAGTCGACTTAGGTCAGTCGAGGACCGAAGTAAAGCGCCGGTTGTGCCTTGCGCAAGGCAGAGGAGTAGTGCGGAGGAAATAAGTAGCCACGAGGTTAGACGGAGATTAAGTTGTATGAGTCACTAAGTTTTATGATAGTTATTTATTAACTTGTAAAGCTGTCGGTGCACAGTTCGCCCGGTCTCACGTTAAGCGAAATTCGGAAATCTTCTGCGAGCTCGTGTGCCGAGGGCCGTATGTAGCGCGGCGGAAATCTTGCCGAGAATCTAATAGATCCTCAATCGACGGAAATCTTGCCGAGAAACGACGGAAATCTTGACTGCGCGGCCCTGAGCTCGTTTACGCGCGCGGCTGAGACCGACGACTTACTTTAAAGGACGATTCACACTTAACAACGATAAAATTAACAAAAGATTAAAGTTAGAGTCCGAACGTCGCGCGAGCGTTCGGAGAGCGCAATTTACGGCTATATTAGCTTGACGTTAACGACTCTCGGTCGACAATCCACTCGGTTTTGCCCAGTCGCGAGCGATGCAAGACAGTTTTTGGTCGGCAAGCGAGTCACTAGAGCCTGGAACGCGTAACGATAATGAAAGAGCGACAGCTCGTGGAGACGCGATCCAGGAGAAGGAATCTCACGGATTCCGATTACGAGCTGTGAAATCCCCTGTGGGATGTGAGCTCGAGAGAACCCGCCGCGATTTAACTGACCGATTTGTGTAAAAAAATAAGTTGATTCGCACTGATTAGCGTTCGGAAGAATTGTACAGTCGAAGTGAAGAGCCGCTTTGAGCGGTCGCATTTATACCGAATTTTGAAAAGGCTAAGACGCGAGTGGATTGGACCAGCGAAGCAAAGCGAAAAACGGTTTTTGCCACGAGAGCGAGTCTACATTACCTTATTTGGGCATTAGTCAAATGACAAGAGCATTTCGCGGCGCGAGCCGCCCGCCGATTCGCGGAATCCTTGTTTATTCGATCCGTTGCTATGACGATCGCTCGGATCCTTACGCCGGCTGACGGCTCGCTAGCATCGCGATGCTGGGATCGCACGTGATACGAACGTGCGATCAACATCGAAAGGACAAAGTGAGTCGCTTGTGTGCCGAATTAGAGCATCGAATTATGTTTGTTTCAATTATGTTGTATAAATGCTTGCCGCAGCGGTCACCGGTCCCGCTGACGTGAGTTTAACCGTCGAGGTTGTTCGAATCTCGAACACATATAGACGAAATGTGAGGTGTTTATATCGACCGAAGAAATGGTGTAGTGTCTAAAGCAACATACTTTATAATTGTTATGTAGGACAAAACATGATGAAACACTAAAAGACGTTTCAGCCGAA